TAGTTGGAGAATTCGAAATTTGAATGTGTATAGGTCTTTATATTTAGACTATGTATGTTCGCAGATATGTATTATATGTTTTGTTTTATGTTTACATATCCTTAAATATATTTAGATGTTCGGGTCCGCAGACACTTCTTCAAAAGTTCTATGTATGTTCGCAGATATATATTATATGTGTTGTTTTATGTTTACATATTCTTAAATATATATAGACGTTCGGGTCCGCAGACACTTCTTCATAAGTGGTTAAAATCCAAAGCAACCCTCAGAGTTCCCAGCATCATAGAAACGTACAGCATATACTCGGGACGGTGAACAATCGACTGCGTCTCCGCGGTGTGTATCGTCCCAATACTAGCCTGTAAATCCAACCATACTCAAACCGCACTTGGCTCACTCCGAATGCCCAGGATGGTAGATCTATTTTTCTTACCCACAGCCTCTTGCTCATGAGTCACACCAACTCCGCTGTGTAATCAATGTGTGTCAGACCGGAAATATCAATAGAGTATCGCAGGTTGCAAGTTTGTAATGTACGAGAGGCGGTGCAGCATCAAATGGATCCACTCTAGTTGCATGTGTATGTATGTAGCAGAGATGTGGCAGAGTACTATGAATCTATAACAAATTGACCTTTTTGACAAGGTTACTATCCATCTACTACCATGCCAGCTATATTAAAAACCGTTATTAAACTGAGTTTTTAGGACAAAAAAATGTGGCTGCCATTTGCCTCGCGCTTTAGGAACAGTAAAAAATGGATAATATATATTATACCTTTATTTGTTGTGGAATAGAAAGTGGTCCTAGGTACTCTCTGTTTTGTCTTTCACTACTTGTCCGTTCACCCAAACCGTGACTATGTTGTTACTGTCGCCCTCATAAATAAACTTACTAACGAGCTCGTCCATTGTCAAACTAAGGCCCACCTCCGAGGCATCAGGGATGTATTCTAGGGATGTCATTGAGTTCTTAGCACGCAAATCGATGTGCAGAGCGTCCCATTGATAGCCCGGCTCAAGAGTACCAACCTGGTCACCTAGCCCCATGATCGCAGCCGAACCTTTAGTAGCTAGGTTCAAAACACCATAGTACTCGAGTGGCGCCCACTCCTCCTCGTCCCAATCATGAGCGAAGTACAGCGACTTTGAAGCCAATATAGCGCCACGCATGACCTGCAGCATATCACTACTGTAACCACCCGCCACGTCGGAGCCCAAACCCATCCGCAAATCGGCACCGAGATACTTGCGAACGGGTGCAATACCCGAATTCAAGGCATAATTGGAAAGCGGGCAATGAGCGCAGCCAACACTCGTGTTGTATGTTCCTAATTGCGCAATCTCGGCGTCTGTAAGGTGTACGCAATGTCCCAGGATGATATGAGAAACATTTAGCAATCCCGCTTGGGCATACACATCTGTGTAACTCGTGGCGAATGGGTACGCAGCTAAGACGTCAGCAACTTCGTGTTTGTTCTCGTCCAAATGGGTCTGGACGGGCAAGTTATACTGCCGTGCAATATCTCCCAGCTGGGTCATCAATTCAAACGACGCACCCAGTGCAAATCTCGGTGAAATGACTGGTGTGATCAATGGTGAATCCAAGTCCTGCACGGCTTCGATGAACCACTTCGTGCTCGCTATCGATTGCGCAGTAGTCTCCTTCAAACCGGCCGGCATGTTAATATCGGAGTTAACCTTGCCGACATATGCCCGTTGGCCGAGATCTTGTACTTGTTTAGCCAGAGTCAGAGTGGCGTGTGGATCCACAGTTGCGTAGTACGAAGCGGTGGTAGTTCCCTGATCTAATATCTTTTCCACAACGCTCCGGTAGCTGTTCAAAACAAAGTCCGCAGTTATCTCGTTTGGCACTCCATTTTCTCCATCCCCGGACATATCAAACTTTTCCTCCAAGGGTAATGTGTAATTCTTCAACCAGGGGAGCAACTCCATGTCGTATCCCACACCCATGTTGTCAAACTGAGGTGCGTGTACGTGAGCATCTATAAATCCGGGCATGACGAACGAATATTCGAGGGGCGCGGGTATAGTCCTCCAATCCTTGTCAAGCTCGTAGGCATTTTGAAAAGCCGCCAAAGCCTCGGTATCGGAAGCGCTCAGCATAAATAGGATTGTGCCGTTATCTTCGGATACGCCGACAAAATGGTCCAGCTGCACGTCTAGGTTCTCTAGTGTTTTGGCTTGTACTATATTCTCGCGGTACATTTTTACTTTCGGATTAGATTCCCCGGTAGCTTGCATTGGTAGTGACGCTGCGTTGCATTCAAGAAGTATTGCACCGACTATTGCGATAATCATGCTGCGCTCAAGCGATAGCATACTGTTAGCTGGATTGGGGTGGCAGAGGGAAGCGGGGTTCTCTGTAGTGAATTTGTAGATTTTGATTGTTGTGGCTTTCCATCGTTGTCGATTTGTGGTTTTATACAAATTTGCCTGTTATTTCTTTTTTGACGTAATGTATGATTCAGAGTTATGGACGCAAGGCAATATCACTGTAACAGATACTGTAACAGATACACTGTTACAGGCCTGCGCTCAGGAGTCAGAGCTCGGCTGTTTGGTATCATAATCTGATAATAAATTATACAAATCACTAAAATCAGTCCCGTCATATGTAAAATTGTAAATAGCCTTCTGTAGTCTGTACTACATATTTTGTTTTTTTCAGAAGGCTTGTATTTTGTTTTAAAAATATGAACATTATTCGAATCTCGGAATCTGCGGGAATCACCGAATCAGTTCACAAAAAAAAAATAGAGTTATGTAAGTGTATCGTCTAAAATGAGTAGATACTACATACTCACTACTCACTGCCAGTGTCAGTCTGTCAGAGTGTCAGTTGTTTCTAGTTTTTGGTTTTTAGTATTTTTAAAAAAGCAAAACAAAGTACATACCATCACTGCTTCACAGCATCAGCCATAGCCCTCCTCTGGATAATAGGTCTCGTGCGGAAATCAAGTTTGTCGTAGCGGGATTCGGGAGAACGAACATTTTGCGCAGACCTTCTCTAGAGGGGTATGTTACAACAGACAGTCAACACAGTTGTCTAACAACGGTCTATTCAACAGTTCCTCGAGCTATTCTAGCATTATGGTTGTAATACCTAATTGTGTTGCCTACTAGAAGTCTATCCGGCTTAATGGCCCTTCCAGCCTACTTTCCGAACAACATATACGGTTATGCAAAGAAATATATCCGAATTAGGCAACAAGTTTCTAAAGTTGCTTAATCGACTACGTTTAGGTAATTCTAAACTCTGAGAGTATAGTGTCATGCATCCTGTCCTGAAATCGCACGGATTACTAACACAGTTCGGTACCTTTTTTAGTACCGGACTGTCCTTCTGTGAGCTGTGGCTGTTACAGTTACATATTTCTATTATCTTCGGGTTAAAAAGACAAAAGACACTGCACTGCCACTGTGTCACTGTCAGGGGCTCAGTGAGTGTCAGCCTGTCAGTGTTTTTTTGTGTATATACACAAATGTTGTTCTTTACAGCAGTTATGTCTGCGTTGGGCACTTCAGCTCATGCCTCATGAGGTGTTGCCTATTGGCTGTATAATTATTAACTTCTTGAGTGTTGACAGGGCTGAGTGCTGAGTGCTTGCAGTTGACGTTTGGCTGTAAATACGTTGCAGGTGTTGGGCGTGCTAGGAGTGACGGAGTCGGCTCTTACGCTCAGAAAAATATTGTACATACTGACTACTGTACCATGAAAATATTTTTTTGTCAACAAACAATTACATATCTTTTTTGGAATTTTAACATGGTAGCCAATCGTATTGAGAGATATATAAAACATGAAGATTGAAAATTATGATGAGGAAATCCTATCATTTATGACTCTATGAATGTTAAGTCATCTACTCGAGGAGTCGAGGATGCTTGGAATTTACTATGTATGTTTTATTGTTTTACCCACTTGACTCGAGTTTTGACTGATGACTCAAAATCTCAAGTCACAAGTTTGTGAACCTACTATTATGTGGACCAAGGAACCTCATGTGTTAACGGGCTACAAGTTCGAGTTGTCAAGCTTATAGGGTTCTCGGACGTGTACTTCGTGTGTACGTGCTTCAGTGTAAAAAGAATGCATTTACGTGTCGTCTGTGTGAGTACATCTACGTGTCGTCTGTGTGAGTACATTTACGTGTCGTCTGTGTGAGTAATGGTTTGTCCAGTTCCCTATGTACAAAAAACAAAGTGGGATGATTATACAAGCCCATATGTTTTTCAATGCGGATTCGCAGTGTTTATCACACTCTGGTGGTGCAAAGTATCTAGAAAACTAAAAGTGGGCAAACATAGTCCTATGCCAGATTTTTTGAATAATATTTATTGCATTCCTATTTTCGGAATTGGGTTCGCACTTCCATTTTTTTTGCCATTTCCAGAACATAATGCTCCATTGCTGGGTGCCTCAGTAGTTGATCCGGGATCACAGGCGTAGACGTGGGTAAGTACTCGGGCTGCACATTGTCAAAATATAAAAATAAGAGAACTGATTAATGTGTACTAACTAATGAATTTCAAGTAGCGAGTGTGCTTCAGAGAGTAATGTACTTGGTACACTATATAGAAAGAGTCGTTCTGTCTACATGTACGAGTCTATTTTAACGTGTAGTTGGATGATAAAACCAAACGAGCACCATCGTGTATCGCGGTGTATATCGGATGGAAAGCCGAAAGGTGTTAAGAAGTAGCAACAAGAGAGGGTACGTGGATATTCAAATGAATAATCCCGTGAAAGAAACCGTTAAAAGAAAATGCTACACAATGACACAACGAACCCATAAAAGTGCTACACAGTAACATATAGCACTCAATATT